TTCTTTGATTTCCACTCGAAATTGCAGTGGCGAAATCCCAAGCCCTAGAGTAACAGAAAGGACGCTGTCAGTCCCAAAAACTCAAGAGCTAGGGCAACCGGACCGGCCGGGTGCCGGGCCCATCGACCGATGTAGTGTCGGGAGCTGTAGAGGCGATACAGGTTGCAACAAACGCACAAGCACCCACTTGTCCAGCATACAATATCTGAGTGATTAGGGGATGCTTTTCTCCGATTTTGTTATTCTTTGCTGTTCTTCTTACTGCTGCTGTCATTTTCTGTATGCTTAGCTGCAACAGATTATCCTTAATGCAGAGGAATAATAGAAAAAGAAGATTTTCGACCTTTTAGCGACAATATAGTTAATTGAACGCAATTGCACGCAATGCAAGGAGCTTATTTTCACGCCATTTTTCCTGAAACTCGTCCGACATTCGATTTCACTACTTTTTTTGCCCTTTGCCTTTCTTCAAACGTGCCGCGCTCTTTTCGCCTTTCTTGCACTATTCTGGACGATCACTTTCATTATTCCTCAAAATCCAGATACACAAAATTATCTTGAGCTGTGCCTTTCAATATCTTGAGCTCTTTAGCCGAAAAGTCTCATAAGGCTAGATTTTTTAGTCAGCTAGTATACAGACCTGTATCAGTAAGCCCTTTGACATTTTGTTTTGAGCTCTTCGAACCACATCGGAGTAGAAGTTGACTCGGAAGTGACGACGTAGAATAAAGTAACAAATGAACACGATCGTCAGGACAACAAGGTAGTAGGCGAAGGAGCAATAGTAGGATATAACCTGTAAAGGAGAATATTGGAGTTTTTTTCTGAGGTTTTTCCTAGAAAAACAAAATTCAGATAATCAACTCATACGCACGATTCCAAAGAAAACCACATAACGATGCTTCTAAATTAGAGCTCGCACGTTCAAACTTACATCAAAAAACGAGCTTGAAACTCCAACTAAAATTGTGCCGAAGAAGGCGATTGGCAGACCGACGATGTAGAGCAAACGAATCTTGCCGGGCCTAAAAAGGTTCTCCTGAGCGACATACGTTCTTCCTAGACGAATAAAAAATATTAACTTGCTTTAAGAAGAGAAAAACTCGATGGATGTTGAATAGGGTCAGCAACATGCTTTCACCAGTTTCTACAAAAACACAAGCCGGACTCATCACTAGTGCTAACCACGATGGCAACACAATAAAAGGATAGCCGGTCCGGTACTCTAAGTTCAATGTCGTTCTCTGGAAGAAGATTAAAATTTACTTTCGGACTTTCCACTTCCGACAGCGGCATAATTTGTTACACTATGTGAAAGTTTTCTGTCTTCCAAAGTAGGTTGGGTTATCAGAACTGCCTAACGTTTCTTTCTGACCGGTTTTTCAAAAGGCTCAGTCATTCTTTCTCCGGGTAGGAGGTGCGCCAGTAGAACTGCCTAACGTTTCTTTCTGACCGGTTTTTCAAAAGGCTCAGTCATTCTTTCTCCGGGTAGGAGGTGCGCCAGTGAGATTCGTTCCTGTGTCCCACGAATGAAAAGAAAAGAAAAGTATCCAAAATTTCCAGCCATGACGAATCTGTAGCCTCCACATGGAGCGCTAAAGGACTGAAAAACGGTCTAGATAGGGCGCAATAAAGGCTGAGAAGTTAGTCTTTTAGCGACATCTCCATCCAGAGATGACGAGTTTTCACACCGTTTCGGATTATGCACCGTTCACAACGGAGCACGTGTGTTGTTTGAATTCAGACAATTAAACGTGACCCATGACGACAGTTGAAGGTAATTCTAGGCAATTCGGCTTTTTGTAGCGAGTTCTCCGTGCAATTGCAACAACCAGAGCCTCTTCAAATACTTCTTTGATAATCGTGCCTACCTCATTCAATATAAGTCGGAGAACCGATCCAAAGATATAAACGACGCTTTGAAGAATGAGAAAGTTTTGATAGTGGTTGAGGGAGATAGCATTCAGCTTTATACGCCGTATTATAAATCCATGAATGAAGACTGAAGAAGCGCACGCTATGACCGTGTTGATATACCCGAACATTTCCGTAGCCGACTCTGCTGAACTCATTGATCTGCAAGAAAGAAAACTCAGCTTTTCCGAACCAGTTGAGAGCGGAGCATCATTAATGGAATATTTCAACCGGTTGAAAGGATAATATCTCAAGTTGTGCCACCATTAATCAAAGGCAAAGAGGGCATTACAGCAGGCATACATACGTAGGTTATCGAGCCTAGCAATTTAGGAGCTTCTCAATCCTAAATGTTTCTCAGGATACAGGTGCTCTGGTGTTCAGAGAGCTACATATGCTTTCACATTACATTTCAATTCATAGTATAGCGACGAACCACAAATCTGTGAATGGAAATGATTGGGAACGTGTTTTGCTCAAAAGGAGAACACCTGCTAATTGCTCCTGTTCTACTATCTAAATAACTCAGAGAAAAAAACTTCAAAGGTCTTTGAATCCTACAGCAATACAAGGTCTCAACATTGCTTGCATTACTTGGAGTCTACTCATACCATTCCTTTGTGCGCCCAAGGGGATTGAGGAATTCACTGCTCATGTCCAAAGAAGCTTTTGAAATTTTTTTGTATAAATCGAAACGAATCACCAAATATGTCGAATAGAACCGGTGTGGCAAATGAAACACTATCATACGCATATGGTCGAAGGATCGAATCTGGGATCGATACAAGCCCAAACCAACCAACGATTCTGTCCCTACGTGATGGCTTGATTGGTACCATACTCGTCTGAGAGAATGAAAGCCTCACTTATACATCGACTCACCAACGCAAATCACTGCATAGGCCACATACATAATCAAAGCACCACTACGACCCTGAACGGAAACGTGAGGGTTCTATACTCTTATATTATAAAATCAAAGAACATCCCTGCTGAAAAAAGTAGTTTCATCTCAACCTTTGTTCAGAGCAATTTCTTACTTAATTCTCTTTGATATTTTTTCTGACATTGAAAGTTTCATCATTGAGTACCCGAAATCACCAGATGTTAGAGGTCATTTCAGAGGTGAAACAGATGTAGAAGAGGCTGGTTGGAATAAAAAAAAGGCCCGTTCATCTACCCCACAGTGTGCCCCGGTTTCACTCCTCTATCAATTTTTGTCCTTCCAGTATTATAAACTTTCAGCTTTTTAGATCGTCTTAGCACTTAGGCGCACCGGCGCTCAGCTTCAGGGCTCATTGCATTGAAAGGAGGGAGTTATTTCAGCGATGCGTACGAGTTTTGGAACATTTTTTGAGATCACATAGTGAAATTCAATGATCAAATGTTGAGGGACAGGGACTCGCATATAAAGAACGAGCTTCCTTCAATTGAAATTCAAGGGGGCGTAACACGATAGTCTGTACAATTCAGTGCTCATGTCCTTTTCAAAGAAACAAATTTGAGAAAGGATCGGATAGGAATTGGCTTCGTTCAGTGTTTCAATCTATTCCCAATCTGTTCGGGGCATTATGATGTGCTTCTATCTCAACTCTATCATCAACATTTGTCATTTATCTCACTATTGATTGGTATGATAGTTCCCCTCTGGATTTCTTGGCGAAATCTGTTGTAGTGCTATTCTGTCGACGTCAAAGACACTGGCCAGGTCCGTATATCCATCGAGAGGTACCGTAAGCAATTCGGGGGTCTATCACTCGATCATTACTCATCGCCTACCATCACGCCGGTTGCATCGTAATCGACCAACCTTAACGCTGTCTAGCTTACTCCATCGCATTTCAAGCGCTTCCATTTAATTCGTTGCACAACTAAACCATCGCAGTCAGGTTACCTTGCGCAAAACACTGAGGATACTACTTGCAGCTACCATATAGGGATGTATGCAAAATCCCTAATTGTCAGAAGGTTGGACCCTGAGTGACTTCGGGTGAGCTTGAGTATGGACAGTGCCCGCCCGTGGGTTAGATTTTGTCATGTATGGTTGGAAGATAAGTCCTGCAACACTTTGAACATGTTCCTCCAGGAAGAAACCAAAGCCCTTCTCAAATGTTTTCGCGCTTTATTATTATAGAGTATTCTTGCAGAGTTTCGAATATGGACATAAAAGGAATTCGTGAAGAGCCCTGGGCTATTAGACTCCATAATGGATCAAACTATTATCCGACCTATTGTCTACTACAAATTCCTGCAGGGACTCCCTGCGAGAGCCGCTGTGGCTAACATCTGCGCTGCCTTCGAGAAGGACGTTGTTCATCATTCGACGGTGTCCCGATGGTTCAAGCGCTTCGCTGACAACAATAGGATGCGCTCATACGGCAATTATTGGGCATCTCCATGAGCTTGGCTACATGTTAATACTCTCACGATGGGTTCTTCATGAACTACGCCTGGCTGACAAGACGACCAGGATGGGCGTGGCTGAGTCTCTTTTGCTTCGTCCCCATTCAAAGGACATATTGGGAGACATAGTGACTGGAGATGAGAGCCAGGGTGCTTTACATGAACCATACACGTAGGTGCCACTGGGTTGCGCGAGAAGAGAAGCCACCTACGGAGCCTAAAGCAGGTCTCCATGAGAAGAGGGTTTTCTTGTGCTGCTGGTGGGATTGCGGTGGAATGATTCACTAAGAGCTGATTGACGGTGGCACAACATTGACCGCCACAGTCTACGCTAACCAACTGCAAAAAAAAAACCGTAAAGCGAGAGCTACGCCCAAAAAGACTCAATGTCTTCCTACTTCACGATAACGCAAGTCCACATATGGCCAACGAAGCGCGTCAAAAAATTATGGAACTCGGATGGGAAGTACTGCCGCGTCCGGCCTACTCATCGGACCTAGTGCCTTCTGATTATCACCTAATCAGAGCACTGAAGAACCATCTAAGCGGCAAAAAATTTAATGATCGTCGTTAACTCGAAAATAGAATCGACCTCTTTTTTTAGTCGCAGAAACCGGAATTCTGGAAGAAAGGGATCGAGAAGCTGCCTGAAAGATAGGCACGTGTCCTGGATAATAGTGCGATTATGTCATAGATCGAACTCTCCGTTCAATAGAGGAATATAGAATTCAAAATCTTGTCTGAAGTGTCGCAAGACATCTTCCAACCTAATATATATATATATATATTTTTTTACTTATCGTAGTTGACTCCTTTTGTACACTTTTACCCGCATACATTTGACAATTTATTTCCTTTTTCCTCTCATCTTTGTAGATCGTGAATGGGAATTTTTATTAGTGTATTAGGTGCCATTTGTGTCAGTTGAAAAGCTTAATGCGCCTTTGTGAAAGAGGCAAGCACAAGCTAGGTTAGAATTGCAGGTCTCCTTGGGATGCTTCGAATGGTGGAGGTCATCTTAGTGTTTCCTCGGGTGCATTAGCACACGTGGGAAAAGGCCACTGCCGTCTAGCATCTGTTAATAGAGGTTTCGGGATATTCCCTAACCATTAGGTTGATGCATAATTATTGGCGATTTTTTTTCAGCAAATTTTACTTACAGGAACGATATAAATATTTAGCAAATACATGTTCAAATAATTACTCCGGATCATATCCACCATCTACGCTTCCCATTTGCTGGGCAGTCGGATGCCGTATTCGAAGAAGTTTCGATCTTGGAGGCGATCCACGCCTCCAAGATTGGAAACTCGGCCATCAAGCCATCCATTTCGTCAAAGTTCTGTTCGTCAGCCAATTTTTCAACGGGCAATTGAGGTGATAATCCATAGTAGTTTCTGTTGGTGAATAAGGTGACCGTAGAAGCAGATTCCCTCTTGATTCGGCTTTGGCTGACTGTTCCGTCGCCGAGAAGTTCGTTGAGATCACTTTATAACTGTGCCACCTTCCAACCTTTCTCGAATTAATAGAGTATAATGTCACGTATACGATGATGACTTTCTGGACATATTTCTGTTAAGAAAAACAAAAGATTCTTTCTGTCAAATCCCCAGTTCAACGTTCAAACTATATCGAGAGAAAAGAAGCAGCGAAAAAATCCGCAATAATTATGCATCAATCTATTGAAATACCAGGTCCGGAATTAGCAGGCTGTTCATACTTCCATTATATTTCAGCTCAATGACTAACTAAGACCCCTCGAGCCAAAGGTCCAGGATTGTCTACCTTACGGCGCTTAAGCATGAACATAAGTAAAAACCGGTATTCAGGGCGGCATTTATGGTGTGTNTCTCTGCGGTTGAATGCGTGAAAGGTCTGCTGCTACTGAGGAAGTCCGATGACACCTTTGCTTTGATCTAACATTTACCTCGACAGTGCGAGCTCTAAAGGTAAGGATTTAAAGATTGCCTTCAATTGCGTAAGACTTATTGAACTTGGTGATCAGACTGGAGTCTACGTTCCATTACAACTCGTGCCTGCTACGTCCATTACAATTCGTGCCCGCCATGTCTTACTGCTACTGAGTTTGAGAAAGCTTTCGAAAAGGATGCTCAGGCTGACATCCGAAAATTTGTGACCTTAACCACATTTATATCCCCGAATTTCACTACTTCTCGAAAGTCAACATCCCCTTTTTTTGAAAAGACGAAACCTCGGAGAGATAGCGATGGGTAACTTAACAGGTCAAGAAGTTTGTGATACTACTACCGAGTCGCCAGTTGACTCTGTACTGTTTTCAATGGGGATAAAAGCAACTAAAAAATTGGTCCATTGACTAACTTGGAAAGAGACCGACTATATCCTGTGAAAAGATACAATGGAGAGAGCTGTAGTTCGTAAATGCTTTTTTCAGATAGTTCTGCTACTATTCCGATGGTACTCACTTGTTATTTGGGTGCTAACTATACGGTGTATTTTTGTCCCAAACAAAATAGGAATCGTCCACGGAATCTTCATATCACGACCTTCTAATCGAAATGAAGTATCATAGTTTATATTTGTATGCTTCTACAGGTGGCCACTGCTCAAACTTCAAACTACTCCAAAAGTTTTAGTGATTTTCAGATCGTTCTGTCCGCAATGAGTCAATTCCAGCTGAACGACCAAAGTGCCTTAATAGGAAGGATCCAGATTCGATTTGAGCTTGTCATTAATCTTGGTTCAAACTTGAAAAGACTCATTGACAGCTGTTTCTCAAAAAGATAGAAGTGAAAAAGGAGCAGCGAAAGGTGTAAAAGCTTCATGAGATAATACAAGACAGCAGTGCAACAAAAAATATAAGTACATAGCAACGCATAGTCTTGTCTTATTAAAACATAGCGTGAATATTTGCGTATGGTGAGTGATATACTTGAGCGGCAAGTGAGAACCTCTGAGTTAGAGCTAACGATCGTGCCAGATTTTCCGGAACCTGGAGGTCCTCACTGGATACTTCCCTGCTCTGCCTCATAGATGGATTTCATATCACTGCTTGATAAGCACGACTGCGAACCTGCGTTGCTTCTACGTCTCTATGTTTTCCTTCGCTTTCACAATTGCCACCTCATTTGGAACCCTGCTGGTTCGGTGGCTCTGTTTAATTGTGAGAAGACCAGATATTGACCATTTGATTATGAAACCGATAAGGACAGAAAACCATAAGAATACCACATATATGACCTGCAAATTTATCGAATATTGGTGGTGGAGCAATCAAAAACGGAGTTTTGACAAATTTCTCATTAAAAGACGGAAACATTCATGGTATAGTAATCAAGGTTCGTTAATCTAGTATGCTGTGAATTATTAAGAATTGTAAGGCCTTTTCAGACCTTTCAGACAAAAGATGATAGTGATTTTTTGGGAAAGGAGCTCAGAAGTGTTCATGCTTAGTGAACGCCAATCACCTCCTAACACGGAACAAGCACATTCAGATAAATAGTACGTAACAGGTAACGTATTTCACCGTTGACCGCCTGACCGGAGGATAGCATAAGCGACTCTGGACATAAAAAGGCGCATGCAACCTGTTTTCCCTTTCGTGAGTCACAAGGATGATGTCAGAACTGATTTGAGGTATATTACTTCAAAATTCTGGGCCTACAGTCCTAGACTTTTTGATCACCTGTTCCAACGGAGCTGTTCGAAGTGAAGGAATGTCGTGTGAAGCTTGAGCCACTGGTGCAAGTACTTGATGAGGTGGATATGCGTTCATAGAAGGGAGGAGGGGAAATCCATAGAAGATTTTTAGGTAGAAGTACTTCAATACGAAATATAATGGTAAGAATCGTGATTGAATGGAGCCCCAACACAGACGGCCCAAAAAGAACAGAAGGTACTTCCACTACGTATGAGTTTGAACAAATTCCATAACTGACCACCATGTATACTCCAAGGACTTCTGCCGCGGTACTGTCGCTGAGACGAAATAGCGAAGATACGAGAGATATAAGTGGTCCGATACCCATGATTCCCAATGCGAAAGTCTGTACAAAAATCTGAAATGCTCCTTTTCAGAGTTAAGTCAAGATTGAAAGCTGTCTTCTCACTCTGCACCTTGATTTTTCGAAGAGTATACCCTAAATAATCCTATGACAGTTCACAACAAAGTGATCGAATGCGTGGGCTTTTGATTCCTGTGCAATCGAAGACAAAACAATACATTTCACCACTATAGCTACGTACAACCATTAGGATTTTCCGATTCCTCCCGTTTTTCATAAGTCTACACATGAAAGGCTTTATATGGTCAACAGCCTCCCAGGCTCCCACATCATTACTGCTATTTTGAGAGTCCAGAAACACAACGAATATCCAGTCGTAAAGCAATATAGCCCCGAATCATAGGAGAAGCGTGCACCTGTTTAATATAACAATTTTCCCGTACAGCTTGCAGAGAAGAATTCTTTAGAC